TACCTCTGTGCTGGACTTAACGTAGGATTCCAATTCGAGAGCTCTGGCCATTGCATCCTGCATGGTAGAGGGGTGTGCTTGCTTCACTTGTATCTTAAGTTGTGGACTGTCCAAGGCATCTACAAACTGATCCCTCAGCAACAATTTGAGGATATCGGGTGGTGCAGTTTGGTAGGCCTTGTGTGCCATGCTTTCCAAGTTTTGTGCCAGCTCTTGCAGGCTCTCCCCTTTAGCACGGACTCTCGTCCTGAACCTGGCCCTGTAGACTTCCGACTAATTCTGGGTTCCGTACCTGAGTTCCAGAGCCTCTACCAGTGCTCTGTAATTGTGTCTGTTGGCTGCTGTCAACTGTTCAAGTATTTCCAGTGGTTGTCCCTTCAAGCTTGTTGCCAGATATACAGCTTTCTGCTCCTCTGTCCATCCATTCATCTCTGCCAGTAGCTCAAATTGTGCTCTATATGCTTCCCACGGTGCCTTCCCATCGAATTCCTGGGTCACTGGGTCACTGACCTATTTTGGCTGACCTATGAGAAATCCTATAGAAAAATATGATGTAATGATGATGTTCTGAAAACTAGTCTTCCCATCATTAGTATTTGCCATAACATCATTGGAAGGTGCAAGCAAGTGTGGACCTCTTTTACTTTAGTCTTATGTTTGTACTATCTTCACACGTTTGAAAATAAGACTTGTTGATTAGATTGCACTAGGTTACAGAATTTTGTATGATTAAATTCCGAGATATTTGACATCCACTGCTATTGTATTGACTAACGTGAAAATTATGTCTACGTACCTTGAGTTTTCCAAGGCCATGAGGGCTTTATAATTGATGCTGGGATTGAACATTCTGGCACAGTGAAGAAACACTGGACATAAAAATTCAACTGTACATGCCATGACCACAACTGTACACATATCATTGAAGTCCAAACCAAGAACATGAAGAGAACCCACTTCCAAGGAGCAATAAGGAAGTGCTTACCCAAAGCTTATTGACTATGTCAAAGTAACACCAACAGCTCTAAAAGGCTTTGATGTAATGGTGATGTGGAAAAGAAGCTGATGTTACGTGATCATTTATTATTTCTGCATATGAAACTAGGCAAACTACAGACAAACCTTCAGCACATCTCCCATCCATGTCTGAAACATTGATTTGGTGCCAATTATATTTCCAATCCTTCATTGTGTTGTCCTGTAAGAAACAGTTGGAATCTGGCAGAAAACAAAACTCAAACCAGTCTTGTACACTAAAGAGACAACCCTGGTTGAGGTACAAAAGCTTATCAACTCTTTCCATACAGGCTGCATGTGATGCAAGCAGAACTGTGGTGCACTGAGTTGTGTGGCTGTGAAGCATGATGTTTCAACAATCACTTCACAGAATATTCTGATAGTGATAACAACAAAGAGCGAGTCTAATGGTATAACTACATTTAATTGTTTATATGATTTGCTACATACCTAAGTAACTTGTTGAATAATTAGATAATGAACAATGTATGCAAAGATTCATAATAGATCTTTGTCAGCAACATCATTGTAGAGTACCATGTATACAGATTAATGTACTTGTATGTTGTTAAAACAATAAAACATTATTATCTTAACAGTAATATACATTTCTAAATTCATGTAATTTATCATGATCATTGCAAAATGATTGAATAGAAATACACTGTTTGCTTTGGTTGCTGTATCTGTCTTATATATATATTTACTATCCAGTACACTTGCATCATATGGTATAACTTTGTGATTACTCTCATTTTCTTAATCATTTATTTACATTTCACACATAAACTATATACTAAAATGTTTGAAATAACATTTCCTAATGAATAAAGTTATTGTTCTAGCACTCTTTGGAACAAGTCTATCAGTATTGTTGCATCATCGAGGTCACATGACTAGTGTGACGCCACCTATTTTCTAGAAGTATCTTGTTCCTTCGTGAATGCCCTAGCATTTACTAGATATATGTTTTTCTGGTATATAAATAAGACGCTCACAACGTGACGGAATAATGTGTGTGTAGATAGTGAGTAATTGAACTGCAGTCAGAAGTATTGTTGGCGTTCGTTGATATAGCGTTTGTTATAGAGCGACTGTTGAAAATAAGTGTATCGTAAAGTTGTATTCGGAAAGAATAAACCAGTTTTATTAAGTATGGACTTGTGTCGCTAAAGTTTCGTCGGAACGAAGTTACGGAAAATCAATTAAGAAACGGAAACGTAACAGTATGAAAAGTAAAATTTGCCCCTGTCTCCTTTTTTGTAGTAAATATGTATGTTTCGGAAAATTATTGCATATTAGAATTACTTTAAAGAGGAATTAAAATGCTGTCATTTGACGTTAAGGTTTTCTTCTTATCTTTAAAATTGTTGAAAATACAATTATTTTTGGTGAATTATTATGGTACTTATTTGGTATTTATTATTATGCATGGTTGCTATGGTAAAAATCTAATTAATATATGACATACCTATTTGATTTGACCTTATCCATCTATTTCATGAAGGTGATGTGTATCTTAACTTAAAAATGTAGGTTGTGTTGTTAGAATTATGGTTGGATTCACTCCGAAGACCCATCCATGGCTGCTGGTCTATAATGGAAGTAAACTTAAAAAACTTACTATTGGTATTGGAATAAAAAATAATCAAGTGCTAAAACAAAGATATACTCACTGTCTATACACAAAACAATGTCATCACTTTCAGAGTATGTGTGAAAGTCATGTCACTGTAGTCACCCTATGTTACAATTGCTTATACTAACTTGACCCTGTGTCTACTCCTTGGAGTGGAGTAAGCCAATTTTAAGGGGAGGTTCAAATACTTTTACAAGTCTGTATCAGTTGTGGTTTTATCTCTTGAATATACTTGTTTGGAACAGTCATTGATATAAAGGATACCACACAAGGACCTATTCTTGACATAAAAGTTGTATATTTCTATGATTTTCTCTCACTCTAAGCTTTTGCTTTGATTCTGTCTTTGTCTGATGCAGAAACTTTACATTCCAGCAGCCATTTGAAGCCTTATTATGAGTAAGAAGCTGGCCACTGGGTAAAAGACTGATTTACACAACTGTAAATATAGATGTTGTATTTAGTCACTTATATTCCATATATTGGCCATGTTCAAAGTATTAATTACTCTGCATAACATTTCCAGATCCTGCTTGTTTTGTGGTTGCTTGTATCTGTTGGACATCAGTGTACCTGAATACCATCACATGATCAGGTGGCCTATAAGAAAGGAAAATAAACACCCTTTATTTCAAGTACCTCAACCAAAGTGAACACTCCACATTTTTTCCAATCTTCAACATTTTTTCTCTCACACATTTACACCTCACTTCTAAAAAAATACCCCCTCCATTTCGTTTTTACATGTATAAGCACAGTCCTCACAAATAACCATAAAACTTAACATTGTTTTCACAACCATTAACTTAGTGTTACAAAGATTAGGTTAAAAGAAGTAAGGTTACTTTTAATTATTATTACAGTATAACTAATCTATTGTAATAGTCTTCAAAGATCCATAATGTGATCTCCTATGTTCAAACAGTTCCTAAAAAGTATATTTAGGACTTCCTCATGCACTGCATTTCTCAAGCTGCTTAATTGAGCCCATTATGTACAAACATCTCTATTTCTCTCCTATGCTAAACCTTTTCTACGCATCTAGAGTAACTATTTTACTTGTTGATCCAGATATCCTGATAATCTCTTATTTCCACCAAGCAAGGAAGATCTGGAAAGAGCTACTCAATGATTTCATTCCTTAAATCTCTGAAGTAGATCATTGTACTTGGTTTGTAACTCCTTCAGCCTGCCTGTAATAACAATCTTAGCTCTAATATGTTCTATGAACAGAGCATCTTGAATTCTTGCTGGTGAACCATCTATTCATCTACATCTTCTTTAATTTGAGCACTTGGTTATGAAATTCTAGTCCTGTTTTTTTAATATACATGTATATTGTCAATCTAATGCAATTACCATAATAATTTTTGTCAATAATAAAATGTACAAATGCTTATGATAAAATAAATGATACATTAAACTACTTTAGAAAGTTAATTCAAAATATTGGATATCATTTTCAATTTTAAAATGTATAGAAAAGGAGCTTATTCAAATTGTGGTTATTGGAAAGCTAGAATGTCATTTATTAAATATCTTCTTTTAAAGCATTGGTGAAAAATTAATAAACCATGTTAATATTTATGAACTTGGCTATATTATGTTTACTTATTCTTTACTTTGTAGTATGTTAGAACTTGTCAGTTATATTAATGTTATCTTGAGATAAAACAGAAGGAATAATAATTATGTGCCTGTAAAACTTAAACAGTAACAACAGAATCTTCATATTTCTTATAATATTTAATTTGTTACTTGCTTTTGGATTTAATTTTATACAAACCAAGTCATAAAAGTTGGCAGTTAATGTTTTATTTTTAAACTTTTAACTGGAAACTTGTGTTTCGTAATATTTTTAATGCTGCTAATTAACAAACCATGTATAACATACTTTATTAGCTTTATGTTTGCATTTTCTAAGGATAGTTTGTAATGCATTTTATTCATTTGATGCTTGGTTAATGTGTGTGTGTGTGTATCATGCACTTGTGCTTCACTATGACAAATTCCATTCATAAAACCATGTGCAAGCTCTAGGTTGTAATATTTTTTTTCTTTTAAATCTACATCACATAGATAACATCAATTCTTAAGTATATTCAAAACAGATATCCTCACATTTTTGACACTTTTAAATCAATATGATAGGTGTGTAAGAACTTATTTTTTAGCAAAAGATCTCAGTGGAGATATGTTTTGAATTTTCTTTCTGGCTGATTCTTTTTTTAGTTGAACAAAACAGTGTTCTAGTATTTACATTTTGATGTATAGAGCTCATTGCTAAATGCTTAAGTAGCATAGTTTCTAATGCTGTTTTTTTTCTTTCAACTATTTATTGCAGGACAATGACAGAAACCACTTTTGTAAAGCCTCTGTCACTTGCTGAATCAAAGAAGAAGAATTATATAAATATAGTAAAAACTCATTTTAACAAAAAATTTGGAAGTGACCCATCCTTCTATGTGAGAGCTCCTGGTAGAGTCAATCTGATTGGTGAACATATCGATTATTGTGGTTATGCTGTTTTCCCCATGGCTATTGAACAAGATATTCTTGTAGCCATAAGTCTTAATGGTAGTAATAAAATCAACCTGACTAATGTTAAAGAATCCTTGTATCCAGACTTTACTACTTCTCTTGATGTACTCAAGATTGATTCGTTAAATCCAAAATGGTATCACTACTATTTGTGTGGGTTTTTGGGGATGGTTGAGCATGCCTCGTATGACTATCTTTCTTCATCATCTGGTTTGGATATAGCAGTTCTAGGTACTGTTCCACCATCTGCAGGGCTTTCCAGTTCTAGTGCACTGGTCTGTGCTGCAGCTCTAGCTACAATGCATGCCTATAGGTAAATTGTGTTATATTTTGTTTGTTTTTCATTTCATCTACAAACATTCCTAGTATTTAATCTTTAACATTGCTTTAATTTATTTGAAAAATGAACTTCAAGTTTCTAAAATATTTTAGATGTTTTTAAATGATTTTTTTTTCTGTTTGAGAAGGTTTACATATATAAAAAAAAATCATATTGTGCAAGTAGGAGGTGGTGTTTATATTGCCTCATTTCTTTAGAAACAAAAACTACATTTATTCAACATTATTTATTTAGTGTGTATGTACATTGTCTCTGCTTTGAACGTTAGTGATAAGAGAAGCAGACATACCATCTTAAAGTTTTCTAGAAGTATGGGATGGTTGTTATTCTCACTGTGCAATCTGATACAAGCTAAGTGATCCACCAGAGCCTTGTATCTGATTATCTTAAAGTTGTACGAAACCAAATTATCTACATATCTTTGTATATTGTAGAATAGAGTCAGGTGATTAACTTGATTGATATAATTAATTACCCATGAGCATCAATTACATTTATTAGTTTTATATAAAATAATGAGTTAATTGATATTATGATCAAATCATTTAATGTCATTATGATTTTAATTATCTAATCAAAATTAGTGTTTCTGATTCTTACCACTTTTAATTATTCCAACTATCTAAGTAATCAAAATATTGCTATTATGACTTATCATTATTATTTTCAAGTAATTCAAGGTTGTTCAGCTTAATTGATTAGTGTTCACAACTCATGAGAATAATCACTGATCACGATTAGTGTTTCCAAATATTAATTTTGATTATTACAATTACCCAAATTGTATGTGAGAATAATCACTTAGTTGGTTAATGAGCCAGGGGATTAGTTGATTATCAAATTCCAATAATTGTCCAGCTCTGTTACATAAACATATACCATGAATGCATTGACTATTTAAATAATTTGTTTTCAGGTTTATCATTTGCATGTTGTGGATAAATAATCTTTTAGTTTTGAAATTATATATTACTTTTTCAAATAGCTTTGAAACATTATAATTTGTAATGTATATTTGGTTACAACATTTTATTTTAATGCTTAACTTTGAGTGAAAGTACCATTTTTTATAATTTGTTTACGTAATGGTTCTTCTATTAAATTTAAGTATTACATTTTAATAAGCCTAACTTAATCTGTTTTTACTTAATTTCCCATTTGGATGAATAAGTTAGGGTCATTCCATGTTGTCTTGATCAGTGCCTCCAGAATGGTTCTTTTAGGTCTGCTGAAATTTATTAGACTGTTAAGTCCATACAAAAAGAGCAATTGTGCAAAATTTCAGAGTGGCATCTCAAATAATAACTATGTTTTACCTTTCCAAACATATGGAACTGAGAATTAAAAAAAACAACAAATTCTATATATTATATTTAGGTTTTCTATTACAAATGAAGGTTTGTATTGGTCTGAAATTTCACCATTAGTGATATGATGTGATGTAGCTAGTCAGGGTTCTTGCTAGGGTCCCAGAACTTTTTTTTTTTTTCATTAAGAGTCCCATAGGTATAATTTTATAAACTAAATTCACAAAAAGCACTATTGATAGTGTACACTATATGCTTATCTCCTGCAAGTGGAAATGAGCATGTTAATGCTCAATGAAAAACTTTATTTACAATTTATATTACATGTTGTTTCCATTTGATTTTTTTTATCAGTGTTAAAGAAGTTAAGAACACTTTCATGTTGGTTACCCTCAGCAAGTGTTAAAAACTATTATTTATAATGAACACTATGTGTTGCTTACCCTCAGCAAGTGATAAATAAGACAATATGCAAGAGAATAAAATGAACAGCTTTTCCAATTAACATGAAAATATCTTCTGTTTTTAAGGTATCATTGCTTAAAAGTGACCACTTGATTTCTTATTTTCCTTTGATTTGTTTTGGTCCAATTAACGTGTTTATAAACAAGTTATTATAAAAACCTGCTTATGTACCAACTACTAAACATTGAAAATTCTGAAACACACTTACATCTGACTAAAGTTTCTATCCTCTGCCCATCTAAGCATTGGTATGAATCTTACCTCACGTGCTCTAACCTTTATACCCCATTATATTACCCATAGCAAGTTAAATTTTGTGATTCTCTCCGCCTACATCAATGTGCCCTTTTCCCAGAACTGTATATAAGCTCCCCGTTATTACTTCCTATTCACTTTTCTCGATGGCAGAATGTTATAACGACAGTTTTATGTGCTTACAGCAGGTTTCTCTTGCAAGTTGTATAAATTTAGTCACACCTAGCTTTGGATGATTTTTTTTTTGACATGTCTTATTGGGTTTTGAGTTTATTGTCTATATTATTTATTTTCCACAAAAAAAAATGTGACATTTCAGATATGAATTCTCACATTCACATCTCTGATACAGAGTATCCTAGTGCTCCCACCCTGCCACATCTGGAGTCTAGCATTGCCTGGGTGTTGGGTGAAGGCTCCCTTTTTGTGGAGGGTGTGTAATCCTTCATATGAAGAGTCTTGCATGAGGTCTGATGTTTCTTCTCCTGTCAGTTCAGAGGCTGAGCTTTTGGGGGATCAGGGGAAAACTGGTGAGAATTTGGACTATATTTTTCTGTCTCCTTCTTTTGCTCAGACAGCTAATCATGAGCCTCAGATGGACATCTCATCTTGTGCTCCATTTTTGTAACTAGTACGTCAAGATTTTAATGTCTTGAGCATTCAACTTCATTCTTTGACCCTTTGAGATCTCCGAGAAGCTCTTTTTCTCAGACATTCAATTTTTGCATGTATTCCAGATTCCATGGAATCTTGGATGTATGTGGCCTTTCTCCACTCTTCTCTTTCAACACTAGCCTCTTACCTTTCCTGGTTTTCTACTGGATGGTTTCCTGCATCTCCCATTCTGGTTTTCAGACGTCCTGTATTGGCTCCATGTTCTATCAGAACACAAGGGAGATATTTCACCCTTATCAGCAGACATCTTCTGCTTATGTGGAGTGCTGAAAACAGCATCAGGGACTACTCTATAGGATCTGGTCCTGTAAGGGCTCGACTCAGAGGGTTCGTGTCTGTATAGGAGACCTTCGCCACTGATCAATGTCATTCAGGCTCTTATGAGAGGACTGGTCCTTCATATCACATCTTTTCTTCCATTGTCTATCATACCGGTTGTCTTTTCCCTACTCAAGGATCATCTTGCATCCAGTTGTCAAGCACAAGCCATCCAGGATCTTCTGCACAACGAGGCCATAGAGTGTGTCAACTCCTCTCTCGAGGGTTTTATTCCCATTTGTTTATAGTACCAAAGAAGACTGGTGATTGGCAACCTGTCATCGACCTTTCTTATCACGGTTGTTTCCTCCAGCTTCTTAAATTTACCATGGAGTCATTTATTTCCCTCTGGTAGCATCTTGCACCCAATCTATGATGACAAAGTTTGATGTCTTCATGATATCTGTTTTGTGCATGAGAGACAGGTTTTTCAGTTTTGTGCACTCCCATTCAGCGTTGTATCTACTCCATATGTCTTTTGCCAGATAGTCAAATCCTTTTCACATCATCTTCACTCATTGGGCATTCACATTCACCTTTATATGGATGACTGGCTTGTTCTTGCTCATTCATGCCACTTGGCAGAGCTTCACGCTTGAGCTCTTTTATCTGCAGCTGCTAGAGCTGGGTTTCTGTAGAAGTTATTCTTACTTCCACACAGTACCTCGTCCATTTAGGGATACTTTTCAATTCGCAACTCAGTCGGGCCCAACCTTCTTCTCCTCTACACTGGAATGGGCTGTTCTTCTAATACAGTCATTGGAGCATGAAGTTCTATCTCTTTTGGGGATGTGGGCAACCTTGGACTCGCTCCTTCCTTTGGGTCAGGCCCACATGTTCTTCATACAGTTGTCCTTATGGGACCAATGGAACATTTGCATGGATGCATTGGATTGTCTGGTGATCCTACTGACTTCCAGTCTGCCTGATCCTAGCTGGTGGTTGAACAGGTGTCCCTCTCCTTCCCCCATGTCAAGAGATACATCTTTTCATATGTTTCTATCCAGGGATGGGAAACTTGTTTAGGGGATATGGAATTCAATTTTTTAGAGTTTCTAGCAGTTCAATGAGCTATGTATTTGACTCTTGAATCATTGCAAGGGAAGGTGGTATTGCTTCACTCAGACAATTCCACTGTGGTCTCCTACATTTTCAAACAAGGGGGGTACTCACTCCAGATCTCTTTGTTTTCAGACATTGTATCTTCTCTCTTAGGCCCACAAGTTATAGTTTTTGACCATGAATTGTCATAGAATTTGTCTGTTACAACACACATTCTCTGAAATCAGTGTAATTAGGCTGAGGAGGTTGTGTGCATTTGTCACTATATCTAATTGGGTTTGCTTGTGATTTTATTTTATGTGGCTGAGCATTTGCTTTTTATGAATTTATTTTTCATTTATCTTCATGTGATGGACTGTATTCTAGTTACATTGTGTTTTTGTCTTTTCTCATGGTAATATCCTGTCTTTAAACCTAACAGTGCTATAGTATGTATTCATGGGGTTTGAAATGAATATTATTTAAATATTTTGGTACGCATTGAGTGAGCTAACAAAATTGACTTTTCACTGTAGCATATGCTCTTGTGTGCATTTGGATGTTATAGATAACAACTAGGATATTTGATTTCAATTGCTAAGGTATTTTTTGCTTCCTAGTAATCATATGTGATATTAGTCATGTTACCTATAGAAAAACCACCTTCTCTGATTAACGTTTTCATAATGCCTAATTCCAGTGATTTAAGCAGAATGAAGAGCTGTCAAGCATTTGTTATCAAAATAAGCACTTGTATTACATAGTTGAAGAGTTTCTCTGATAATATTGTTGATGTAATGAGATAATGAAGTAAAATAAGGACACCTATTGAGGATTGAGATAGAAAACACAAATGTTCTCAATGTATTTTACCCTTGGGTATTGAAAGGTGAAATTCTTGCATGGTATATTTTATTTTACCAGTGCTTCAACTTTTTCCTAACTCTGCTTAAAATTCACTCCAATTATGGTTTTTCGTTATCACAATTTTTAAATTTGATGAGGCTTTCTAAATTTCTTACACTGGTTATGACATTTTCAGGTGATTAATATTCCTTTTAGCCAACAAATAAAATTTCCTCTACTCTTCTGATTAATTTTTCAGTGCTTTCATCAGTAACCTGTTTCTTCAACTTCTTGTATAAGTAAGAATTCCTTGTTTGAAGCTGAACATTGCTGAATGGATGGATACCTGTCTCCTAGGTGGTTTCTACATAATTTTAGTTTTTCTAGTTTTCTGTATTTCATTCACTTGGTGAAGCTCTACCAGTTTCTTTTCTTGCTTATGACTTCTTGACTTCTGATGTAGTATTTTTGAGTAACACTGATTTCCTCTAGGGTTGACAAAATATGTACATAGAATAATTGGAAAATTGTTAAGATATTTATTGCAAAACTATTCTATGTGTTTTAACTGAGCTTGTGAAAAATAAGAGACTAAACAGAAATTAAAAATCACAATAAAAAAAATCTTTATTCAAATATATGCAGTGAAAATGTATTTTACTTACTACAATAAATATTTGCTTTTACTAGAGTTAGTTAGTTAAATCCTTGCTGAACATTTGCAAGGCATGTAAGCTTTGCTTTCAAGTGACAGAAGTAGATTAAAATGGTGATCCTTTATGACAGGTACTAGCACCCATTCCAGGGGTACAGCTGGTTAGACTGGAACAAATGTAGTAAAAGGTACAACAGTGGCATGGGCTTTCCTCAAACTTCCAACCATGTGACTACAAGTTTAAAACACAAAGCTGCTGAGCCATGCTGCCTGTTTACAGGAGAGAGAGAGGTTTAAAGTTATCTAACTTACTCTGTCAAGATCTTGTACCAGAATATATTGCATGTTACTTATGTAACTCATTAACATCAGACTTACGCAGAGGAATTAGTGCTACGCAGGCAACTGGTCATTCCTAGTGAAATGCAACGGAGGTCATGACCTCTAGAGATCACCTGACTGCCAATGAAAAAAGTGACCATTTAACTTCACATATTACAGATGACCTTTTAGCTGTCTTTAGGTGAATGATACAGAAAAATTGGTATCTACAGCAAAAGGAACTTAATGACCTTATTGGCAACCAACTTGTGAAACTGCACAAAAAATAACTTTAAAAAAATTCCTATATTAATACAAGGAGGTAGAAAACATATATGTTTAGATACTACACTTTTCCTCCCCCTTTAGTTCAAGTGTTTTCTCAAGCCAACATTAATCTTAACTTTACAGCCAATAAAACTTACAAATGGAGTAGTAAGACTTTCTTTCTACCCTGTAAAAACATATGCAACACAGATATCATAACCCTTTAACAAAGAAACTTGATAATTACATCATTCTGTCTGTATTTTCATGTTTTAGGTCTGGATGAAGCTGTATGACTAATCTTACTCCTATAGTGCTATTATCCAGCATGAAGTCATCCCTTTTGGTTATATAAAGTTTATCAATTACTTCACTGACTCATGGTCCACTTTAGTATTGAACTTTCTACCATACAAGTAGTGTTAATAATCTTTCCTGAAGACTACTAACAGTTGATTATTCAGTGTACAGTGTTTGCATTCAAGAACTATGATCAGACTTGTGTAGATGATTATACATTGTACTCTGTCCTGCAACTGCTATAACATTGCTCCAATACCATTATCACTGGCAATGGTATTTTACAAGAATTCACAGTCTTGCCATGGATATGCCAGAACTGGGGCTTCCACTGAAGTATAATCCAGGGACTGAAATGCTTGCTCACTCCATCTGAAGTGTGTTTTTTCTTTAGTGAGTGCTGATATTGATGAAGAAAATTTGGAGCAGTTGGCCACAAAAATTGTCAATAGTATGATGCAAAACCAAGGAATCTGTGGCATTCTCATTTAGTCATGGTTTGAGGCCAGTTTCTCATTGTTGTTATCCTAGCAGGAACTGTGGAAACTCCATTCCTACACACAATATTACCAACAAATTCCATCCTCGTGCACACTTTCCTGGTTTCTGTTTGAAGCCAATCTTTTTTTTTCTTTTTTTTTACCTGTTGGAATACCATTTTAAGGTTCACATTTACAGACTTAAATGTGCAACCAAACACTAAGTAAGACATCATCAGTATATAGACCAAGCACTTATTCCATTGCAGTCCCTACAGTAAAAGCTCCATTAGCTTTTCAGAAGTACAGGTGCATTACAGAGGCCAAATAGCATGTTGCAAAATTCATACAAGCCATCTCTAGTGCTAAAAGCAATCTTAAGTCTGTTCTCATTATCCAGTTCTACTTGCAAGTGTCTGGATGCCAGATCTAAAGTGAGGAACTAACAAACCTTTCAATGGGGCAGACATTCATCTGTTCATGGCAAAGGAAAGGTGTTGATGTGAGTTGCTGCTTACACCTACTTTGAATTAACATAGATCCTGGGTGCACCTTTTTCCTCTCCAACAGTCACTACTGGAGATAACTAAACACTCTCTGAAAGTTGTATGATCCCATCCTTTAACATCAGCTGTATCATACCACTGACCACATCCCTACTACTTCAAGGACGCCTGTGTGGCAATTGTCCAATTGGATGTGGGTGTTGGGTCATTGTTATCCTAACCCAATAGGCCAATTAGTTCCATGAATACATAGGCATATTCAACCAAATACCAAGACATTAAGTTGCTGTTGCAGTATTGGATTCAGATTATTTGCATAATCCTCAACCATTGATTTAAAATGTGTTGGTAACTGCATATTTCTTTTCAGATTTAGTGGAAAGATACAATATAACTAGTTTTGGTTACTTCTACTTAGCTTATTGTTCTGATGACAATTACAGCAGTGAAACAGATAACTGATCACCCATAATTACTAAACAGTATTGAGACTTCATCTCTCCTTGGACTGAGCTAATGTTGCTTGTATTTTTAGACGGGAAGACGTCCATTTCATACATAGGTTCTATAACCACATTACACTGTTTTAATGTACTATATTTTATCCTTAGCAAACCATGGGATATCAGTTGTGTATATGAGGGTACTGTGACACAAGGCAGTTATTGCCAAATTCAGTTCTAGCATTGGCACACTTAGGATGGATATACTAGAAAACGTATTAGTCAATTTTACCTCTGCAAACAATTAACTGATGATCCATAGGACAGTTATCTGTTACTAGTCAGATTGGGCCCAGGAACAATGGATTGCTAGAGTGAATATGGGAGAGAGAGACCTTCTATAAGTGATGCTGCCTAACCTTTGTGTTAAATTTACCTTTACAATCACTTTTAGTTTATCACTATTCACTAGAATGAATTTCAGCATCAACTGGCCATAGCGATGGTTTTAATTACATGGATTAATATTTTGCAAGATCTACCAGTGTTATTGATGCTTCTGTGTAAACCAGTAACTTGAATTGGAAAAACAATGGAGCTGACCAATGTTCCCTCTAATGCTTTCAATCCATTCATGTGCACCAGTATCAAGGCAATGTATGAATGTGTGCTACCAGGTTTTTTTTTAGGGAAGGGGTGTTTTTAGACCATCATCCCTATTGGATCATTAGGCCACTTTACAATGTGAACTTGAAGGCCAGTAAATTTTGACTTCACATTAATGATTTTATCATACATAGTTTTTAATGTTTTGTTTTTGTTATTATTTCAGTGTGTCATATTTCAGCTAACTAATCATGTCATTTATTTTGGTGTTCATATATTGTTTATTAATAAACAAAGTATTATAATGAAAAGAAGATTTTATTTTTTACTTTTTTACAGTTTTTTACAAAAACTTAATTTTTTTTAAACTAGTTTTTGGAAAGCACATTGCAAATTTATATTATTTTTTCAGGTCTGATGGCTTTTGTAAACCATAGTTATAATTAAATTTATTATTATCTATGCTAAACTCTTGATAAACATTATATAAAAGTAATATTTTTCATTATAGAGCTAAGTTATGTAAAGGATCTTCTGGCTATATATGTCTTTTCCTAATGTGTCTTATAGGACTGAAAATATAATGACCGTTAAATAAATAATCAACGTGTATGATAGAAGACGAAAGCACTTCACAGTGAATTTAGTGGATGTAAATTTTATTAAGCAAATGTAAAGTTCATTAGTTTAGTTGTATCTGTATTGGATCAGTTGTTGTAGTTTCTTCTATAGTTTCCACACTGTATGCTTAAATTAATTTTTAATTGTTTCTTTTATTCATGTAGTAATCTGAAAATGTTTAATTATGCATCAATATTTTGTGGATAAAGCTATAAAACAGTTGTTTTAAGTATTGCTTTTTTTGATGTGGTATAATTTTGAGAATTTTGTTTGTTTCAAAATGCTGTGTGTTTTAATTTTTTTTTAAGACTTACAAAACTTTTATTTTATGATTTCTTTATTTTTGTCAGTCTGTCAGTTTCAAAATTGGAGCTTGCATCCTTGAGTTCCAAATGTGAACGTTATATAGGAACAGAGGGTGGAGGGATGGATCATGCTATATCTGTTCTTGCAGAACCAGGTGATGAAATTTGAACTTTAACCACTAATAACACATATAATGTACAATAATAAAATTCAGTATTTATGAAATCAAAATGTTGTACTTGCATGCATATCTATTATATGTACAAGTATATACATATATGTAGTATTTTTTAAGATACAGTGCACATTATAATATATTGTCTGTTACTTAGTAACATGAAGCTTTGAAAAAATATTGCAATCTCTACAGATTACTAATCACATGAGCTACACTTTTCAGCAGTCAACTTCAAAAAGACAAAAAGGGGTGAACTTAAAAAAAAACAGAACTTTATGGGTTAAAGTTTATGGGATTTCTAGAATCTTCTGCTTAATCATCTCTACTGAGTGATAACTTGTGCAGAGTGAAGGCTGTATTAACCCAGTTTTTTTGTTTCTTCAAACATGTATATATATATATATATGTGTGTGTGTGTGTAATGTACAATAAATATTTAATTTTTATGGCTTAGGCATTATGATGCAGTTTTTAAAACATTTTGTTTTTTAACTCTCCCACATTTATAGATAAACAACTCCTCCAGTACTTTATTTTTAGATAAGCAATAAAACACAAGACACATTTTAATATTTCAGTATTTATCAAAACTTTAAACTGATAAACTGTGGGAAATATGAAGGGGGAATACCATTCCATGGTGGTAAAAGTTGTTAACTGTTGTTGTTGTTGTTGTTTTAGAAGGACATATGTACCCATGTAAGTGAAAAGGTAAGCATGTTATTCTTCTTTTAATGTTTGTTTTGCAATTGTTCAACTTATTAATTTAAAAATGGAAACTGTAGGAGTGAATATATGAGAGCTATCCTTATATACATGCACTTATATTTGTATGTTAATTTCTATATTTGTGCTTAAATACATAAGTATAAAGATATGAATATATATATATAAATCGGTGATTCTGTTTTTTATAAAAAAAAATGTCCAGGTTCAGCTAAGCTTATCGAGTTCAATCCACTTCAAACAACTAATGTCCTGTTACCTGAAGGAGCCATTTTTGTCATAGCCAACAGCTGTGTTGAGATTAACAAAGCAGCAACATCACACTATAACATTCGGGTTGTTGAGTGTCGCCTTGCAACTCAAGTAAAGAACATTTACTTATGTAATAATTAATAAAAATTTAATTCTTTGGAATTCATATTATGATATTTCTTGTGTTTTTCTGATTCTACTTTCCACTTAGTTTCCAAATTGTCTCTCTGTAGAAGAGTGTATGGAAGAGCATATACTGTAACATTGATTTTTTTGTCAATTGTCTTGTTGCCATCTACTTGCTCTGAAATAAAAAATAAAGTAAATAGCTTTCATAATTCATTTTCATTATATAAAAAATGGGGTAAGAGTTCCATATGGCACCCCCACTCAATGGATAATGGTTAGACAAACAATGTTTGGTATTGGGTAATGGTTAGATGAAAAATGTTTCGTATAAAATAGTAACAATGTTTGGTATTGGCTAATGGTCAAATAAACATAAACCCTTTTCAGAATCTTTTTTATCCAGGCAATTCGACAATTTTTGGGTGGGGGTGCCATATGGAACTCTTTCCAAAAATGGTTTTCTTAATTATTTTGAGAAGATTCTTAATTTAGCTGTTCTTTAATCACATTATTTTAAGTAATTTATTTCTGAGAATGGAAATAACAACAACTGTAGAAAGATACTTAGTAATAAACCCCTAAAATATGTTAATAATAGTGAAACGTACTTCTGATCTGAAGAGAGAAAAAAAAAATGGTTCGGAAATAAGATGTTCTTTTGAAGAAAAATGTATGTATGGTGAATTGAAGATAACTATTGGAGCTTGATATGTTTCACATACATCTTTATTGGGTAGCTTTCAACATGTTTTAAGATCTAAATGGTTGCCTTGTCATTTGATGTAAACAGATAATCATGTTTTGGATAGAATGTAAATGTTTCTTTGTAAAATACCAATATTATTTACTACAATTTTCCTATAATCAATAGATATTTGTCAAAATATCAACAGCTATAACTGTTTACTAGCTATAACTTAGGTAAATGGCAACTTTACTACAATAAAATTAGTATATTAACTTTTCATTATAAAATCAAAAAATTTTTTTTTTCAGTTAAAAGAGCTAAAATAAAATTTGTTTTACCGTAGACTTATTTAATGCCTAAATGTAATTCTTATTCTCTAATCATGATTGTATAAACCTAAAGGAATGTTAAAATTTAAAAAAAAAGTTAATTTTAGCTAATTTTGAGAAGTATAAGCAATAGGCCTTTGTTATTTATTGAAAAAATGGTGTTTGGCATTAATTCTTGTCCATTACATATTGACCTTTGTAAACTAGAGAATGAAGGGTGTAAAATTAAGTTTATTAATCACTTTTTATCCTACTGAACAAAAGACTGATATCTTGCTGAAATTATGAATACATATTCCTAATTCTGGCATTAGTTAGAAAAGTGTTAAGTATGAAAAACTTTTTTTTTTGTATATGGCAACAAATCTGTGGCTTAATTCTATCACTTATGTTTGTAGATTTGTTAAAAAAAGAAGCTGTTATATTTATCTTGTATTTGTTCAGAATGTATAGCAGTTATTTATAAAACATAACTCCTATCCTTGAATAAGCATTGTTTCAGACCTTCTGATGTGTTTTCAACACTCTGTACATGTTTCCATGATTATGGGGTGACATAGTTAGAATACTCTGGTTTGAGAGTTCTCATCATCATATTTCACATAGCATTCCTTCAACAAATTAGTTTCCTGTTTATAACTTGTCACTCAGTAAAAGCAACTACGGGCATGATTTGGAAAGATAAGTTCAGTGGACACTTTTAGAGGAGAACATAATATGCAGTAATTCATACCAGAATCTATGAAGATTTTGTATTGGGGGGGGGGGGGTCTTTAAGAACCTCTTAGCATTTTTAACATAGATTGAAGTAATAAATGTATTTGTAGTTGTAAGAATATCTGTATAGTTAAGTGCACTTTTGAATAGAGTGTTGCTTTTGAAATGTTATTTTCTTTTGAAATATTGTTTTTGTGCAGTCTGCTAATTAACTATCACATTGAGCTACAAATATATTTTGTTACTTAAACTGTACATGTTGCTAAAATTTATAATTTTGTCTCAATGCCAAGTTACTGTTATTATGCATTTTTTATTTAAAAAAAAGAAAAATACTATAGATTTTTAATACTTTATTCAACAATTCTTTTATTCTTGTGTATATTTTTCATATTCTATTTTAAGCAAAGTCTGCCTAACAAAGAAAAATAACTGTTTCATTAAGGCTTTGAGAAATGTTAAAATATGTGAAATTTAATTGTTCAATTGTTGTGTACTAGATAACATGAAAAAAGAAACTTGAAAGTCTGCTACATTATCATTAGATTAACATGGAAAGTAGATGTCACTGTAAGTTTACTACATTCAAAAAAATGTTTTCATATCGTATAACATCGGTTTTATATTTTGTGACTACTATGTGATATAGGTCATATTAATATTAATAATTATTTCTTCAGTATTATGTTCCAGAAATATTTTTCAAATACACACTTAACATTGGCTATTTGTAATATAGTGAATTAAAGAAATCACTACGTCCAGTCATGCTCTCTCTGATATCTCTGCATCTTAATAGTAACCCAGCATAGTTTCCATTGTGAAATGCTCTGTCACAAGGCTGTTTTGTCCAAATCAAACCAATGTTCCATGCATGTTTTCTATAATCCACTTAGTATAGGAGGACAGTGGTTTCCCAGTTCCCTTTTCAATGGTCCAGTCACCCAGAAATCCATAGGTACTGCATCCAGTGAATTGGCCAGTATGTCTTCATGTGGAATAGCATGAATACCTATTACATTTGCCAGCTGCTTGAGGTATATGATAGTTGAACAGATATGTCGTGGAAGCAACGACTGTACAAATGAATTGTCACTTTTACAGATGAAGATTCTTCTTGATTTTATTGCATACTGTTGCCTGGGATATGTGGATGGTTTTTGCCACTGATGCTTTTGTTTGTGGATTGTCATTTGTTACAAGATTCTGCACTGTGTTTACCACAACTTGTTGCAGGTCCCTCATTCTTCTTTTCTTGATAGTCCTGGTGCTCCAAGTTCATCACTATAACTTTGTTTTGTAATGTTAAGGTGTACAAAGGATATACCTGTATGAAAATTCTAAAGCACCAATCTGAACACATTTATGATTTGAATGTATGAATATTTTGCACTGAAAAGGGCTGTTACATACACTTCATAAAAGTGATTAGTTTTTGATGGCATTGCACTACCTATGAAATGGCATGCAATATGATAACATAGTTTTGATTCAGGCTATTCTACTGTGACAATATCAGTACTTGCTGGGCCCGGCATGGGCAGGTGGTTAGGGCATTCGACTCGCAATCTGCAGGTCGCGGGTTTGAATCCCCGTCACACCAAACATGCTCGCCCTTTCAGCCATGGGGGTGTTATAATGTGATGGTCAATCCCACTATTCTTTGGTAAAAGAGTAGCCCAAGAGTTGGCGGTGGGTGGTGATGACTAGCTGCCTTCCCTCTTGTCTTACACTGCTAAATTAGGGATGGCTAGCGCAGATAGCCCTAGTGTAGCTTTGCGGGAAATTCAAAACAAACAAACAAAACATTACTTGCTGATTTGCATATTTAAAATAATTTTAATATAACATACTCAACCCTCTGTATAAGATCTCTAGTTTAGTTCTTTGATATGACCTTGTCTAGGGTTACTTATGAGGCATGAAATTCTCTGGAAATTGGTCTAGTTCAGTGATGTGTGACAAAATCATTGTTTTTCATGTTACTTTTTCATAAATGTACAATATATACAAAAATACAAATTCCTTTTGTTTTGTGCTTTACTGGTAACAATTTTTGTCAATTATGAGCTTTAACAATTAATCCTAGAATTAATAGTTGGATCAGTCATATTTTTAAGGACATTTTTCTAAATTATTTATGCACCTAATTCCTAGTAGGTCTATGAATTTGTTGGTTACAGGCTCACTAACATCATATGAATCACACTAATAAATGTCAGCAAAAATACCATCAGTATTGCTATTAAGCTTGCCAGTTATTGGGTAGAGGTATCCAATATCACATATGCAGTAAAACATGAACCTAATCTTGAAAAGTAATATTTCAAATAAATTTTGCATTAAGCATAAGGAAAAACTAAAAGAAGGAAAAAATGTGAAAAACTAATTTTCTAAGATTTTAGTCATGGTTCTTTGTAAGTGTTACTGCATTTTGTCTTGGGTTTAATGAGGTACTTCATCTTTTGAAACAGTTTCATGTTTTGTTGTGTAAATATTTTTGACTTGGGGTTATTTTAAGCTCAAAACAAAGATTGATATTCTTATCTTTGTTTATTATGAAATGTTCTTCTAAACACTTTTTGTTGTAAATATATTTGTTACACATTTTTAGATTTTAGCCAAGGCTTGTGGACTGAATGTAACAGAAGTAAGTAAACTGAAAGACGTACAAGAATTTGCCAATATTCCTGTAGACCAGATGGAGAAGAAGGTCAAGGAAGTGCTTCATGAAAACCCATACAGTCGTACTGAAGTTTGCCAGATCTTAGAACTAAGTGATTCAGAATTTGAAACTACTCTGCTTAGTGCAAACACAAAGTTCTTGCAGGAATTTAAAGTAAGCATTTCTATTAAAATATGACAACTGTGATAGACAATATGTAGCACATATTTATGCAGATATTCATTCCAATCATTTTTAAGAGTTATAAGAGTTTCACTAAGTTAGCATTTAGAGATATCCTAATTGTAAAAGTATATTCAAATTGAATATTGTATACATCATCTAGGTTTATCTATATATTCATCCTTGTCTTGTTTGCTTAATACAATTCAAATTAGGGTTAGCAAGCTGGACAATTGAAAACTTATTTGACCACTGTCAAATCATAACATTTCATGAATTCCCTTGACAAATAATTAACTAATTGTAAGCAATTGTCAGAAGTGAAAACTTTTGAGTCATTTAGGCCAAACTAATTTTTTGTTAAAATTAATCCTAACATTGCAGCAAACCTAGCTAATCTGAGTTGCTAAAAAAATGGATACTACTTTATGATGAGGAATTTAATTCAGCAGATGTCCTCATTATGGCTGTGACCAATTTAAAATATAATAATCATTAGCAGTGTGTTATTACACAATGGCTAGTTTTAAATCAAGAAACAGTGCACTTGTTGCCATCTCTGTGTGAAATCAAAGGAACTTTGTTCGTATGGTGGAAAGACCCATGTTCTTCCTATATTTTAGACATTGTGGCTAACAGCCTTCAGTCTTTTTCTTGTACTACAACATGGGCTGAATGGAGCTGGTCTGCTTTGAAAATATTCATTCTAAAACAAACTGACTGAAGATGTGTATACATTTTGAAGATGGTCCTGTCTTTTATAAGACCTGGCTGATGAAAGCAGGGATTTTGACACTGAAGAGGAGGGGAGGGGAGAAAAATGAGAAAGAATTGCAAAGTATAGAACAATGGGAAAACAAATTACAGTGAAAAACAAAATTTTTATGCAATAGGTGAGGGAAAAGAAATGCTGTCCCTGATAACCAATTATTACAGTTCCTATTGTTCAACAGGTTCTTTTGAATTATTCGGTAGAAAAGAACAATGCAAAGTCTAGTCCACTTAATGATAACAAAAGTATTTTATTTCTTTGAGTACAAGTTAATGTTTGCAAATAGGCTTAAGTTTGCAGTAGATTCTACTACAGCAACATCACTTTGCTAACTGTTCTTGTATGTATGGTTTTTTCTTGTATCACTTTTTTTTTTTGTCCACTCACAAACTTAATAATGACAAAACTGAACTGATAATAACAAACAAACTGACTAATTAAATTGTTAACCCAGTAATCAGTTATCTTATCAGTTTTCATTCACTCACATTTATCTGAGAGCTTTAGCTTATTTTTACAATTTGTTTTCACTTAAATTTGAACATAAAAGTTATTTCTTCAAATTTTAAAATATATAACTGGATTATTAGCTTGTTCAATCTCTGAATTATCACCTTTTTTATCACAGCTTTAAATTTCAACTTGCGTTTGATTAAACAGTATGAATGTTTTAAAATTTTTTATTACTTAATTTTTGTTTTCAGTTGTATAAGAATGACAAATATAAGTAGGGCTGTATTGAAAGATTGTTCACTAGCCAGAAACCCAAAGATAACTTTAAAATATTCAAAAGTTCATCAGGTGGCATTTAGACAGTTTAGATTTTTTTCTTTCTCTTTTAACACAAACTGTTTTACAATGTCTGAATAGTAATCACATATCAAATGTCACTCACATGGAAAATTTGATATTTGTAGATGGTATAATGCCCATTAATTAAACAAAAAATTGTATTAAAAAAAAAAGGCAAAATGTTATATGGTACAGCTTCTTCCATGCATTGAAGCAGAACATTATGGTTGAGTAGGCGGGGGGGCACTTAGTGTCTGCATTGCTTCAGTGACGTACTTAATGCCTGATGTACAAGTCATAAGAGAAATATTATTGTATAATAAATATGAAACATGAAATATGTATACTGAAACTAATCATTTTAATGTTGAAAAAGGAACATTGATGTGATGCTCCACTTCTCTTTTTCCTCCCCAAGGTGTATGTTTAATTAATCAAAAATGCTCAAAAACATCTGATAATAACTCTCTCTCTCTCTCAACATTTTGTTGTAATTGAAAGTCCTTATTTTTTTGTTTATTGATTATTTTGCTTATTAGGTATGTTTAATTAATCAACAATTTTAGGTTAAAAAGACTATGACTGTTATCCTGCTTGTAACAGTGACTATTAAATAAAGATGTGTTTTGCTTAAGTCAGTTATATTTCTTTTAATTGGCCACAGTAGGGTGTGCAAACTCACATGAATATCACAAATAGCATCAGTTACATGTGCATAAACAACATGCATTTTTATTTTATGTAAAATATAAAAACATGATTATTGTTGTCTATAATATACTTTTAAACTACATATGAATGTGTTGCGTCATCGAGATCACGTGACTATTCTCACGCCCTCTTCTTTCTAGAACTATCATGTACTTTGGCGAATGCTCTAGCATTTACTAGATATAGGGTAGTTAGGTATATAAAAGAGGGTGACAACGTGACGGGAAGGTAATGTTTGTGTAGATAGTGAGTAATTGAACTGCAGTCAGAAGTATTGTTGACGCTCGTTGATATAGCATTTGTTATAGAGTGACTGTTGAAAATAAGTGTATCGTAAAGTTGTATTCGGAAAGAATAAACCAGTTTTATTAAGTAAGGACTTGTGTCGCTAAAGTTTCGTCGGAACGAAGTTACGGAAAGTTAATTAACAAACGGAGACGTAACAAATGTTTTATTTCATTTGTTTTGGATTACCTGTAAAATAAAAGGGTTTTCAATCAAATGTAAACAAGTAGTTATGGTGACACCATTGGTAAATTATGCAATTCAGAAACATTACTTTCTTCTCTGCACCACCAAAGAGCTATTACCTTGTACACAACTGCCATAGAATTTCCTGTGCATGCTACAAACCTTGAACAAACTCCCACCCCTACAGGTGTCTATATGTATTGTCAGTCTGTGATGTAATCATCTTTATACTGTAGCCCTCCACCAATAGAAAGATGATACAACCTTCATGTGCAGTAATCACCATGAGCAGTAACTTACAATAACAGGCTTATTCTTTACTTGGCACTGTTTGTATTCAGATGTTATTTTTCCTGTGCTTTTAGAATTTCCCATTACTTTAATTGACTTTTTTTTAATTAGTGTTATGTTACCTTTGTCCTTGTTACATTTTTATTCTATTCACCTAGTTGCAAGTTAATTTTTTCTGTAGCCACCATGTTTCTTTTTTATAAAATATATCAGAAAGAAGAAACAAGTTTAACAAATTTGCCCATAGATTAGAGATTAGGAATTTACTGTGAAGTCTTAAGTCTGTGTTACTTCTATGATATTAGGCCCAGATGTTCATATCCAGGAATCTTCTATCCCTGTTTCAGTGGTGACTGGAAGCACATTATCTGTTCATGAAGTTACTGCTATTGTGCATTAGATGATTGGTTCCTTTCTGCCTACTTCTCCAGTTCCTGTCCCTCATCATTCTGTGTTAGTTGCCTTCTGTGGAGCATGGTTCACCCATGGAAGAATTTTAGTGGCCTTTTCTACTTATAACCTTTGCTTCTGGTTCTCTTCCTAATGAGAAATAGGTATCTTCTCCTCCTTTGTTAGTATGGTTATTACTCAGGTGTGTGGCATTTATTCTCTTTAACCAGCAAATCCTGATGACTCTTGGTTTCCTCTACTTCACCAATCTCCATCTATTGACTTTTTCTTTTCCCCTCCCTCCCTGTGTCTATGCTGATGCATTTCTGTGTCAACTTGTTGATCAACATTTTCCTCATCCTTCTAATCTTTTTGACTTCTTTTCTGTGGCCTTTGGTCATGACCTTTATTCAACTCCTTCACAAAATCTCTTCACTGAGGCACACCATAATAATTCTGATATTATTGTAGGGACACATTTTCTCATTTGTTTAGGAGTTTGGCATTATTGTTTCTATTTTGACAACGTTTCTTTGTTTTTGGGATCTCCTCAGTTGGGAGTTTTCCTTTTGGATGCTCACCTCCATTCCTCCTGTGTCTGTGACCTTTGTCTTGCCCCTTTTCTTACATATAAAATCTTTGGGGGTGTTTCTGACTACTTGGAATTCTGGGCTGAAACTGCTTGCCAACAATCTTCCATTGTTTTCATGGAGTATGTCAGACTACCCCCTCTTCTGTTCCTTGTCCAGTTGCTTTGTGGTCCTTCCCTCCTGCAGGACAGGCCATCGTAGCTCTAATTAGTGACTCATCTTTAGAGCTGATTTTGGTCTCTGGGGCCATTGGTGCCTGCCCCTCATGCTTTGCCTAACTGTAGTCTCTCTATATCAGCAATTCTTGGGTTGTGCAAGTCCTTTCTCTGGTCTATCTCTACACTTTAATACTTCACCTCCTCTTTCTCCTTATCCTCTCCTCCTATTATTCTCTCTGCTTCACTTACCTACATCTTTAATGTCTTCAGGATGTGGAGTCATTTTTTGTTTGTTGTAAATACTAAAAAACCCCTCATGTTTGCTGTCCCCAAGAAGACAGAAAATTGGCACTCTGTCAATGACTTGTTGTTTAGGAATCTCTTTAGTTGTTTCTCAATCTCATGTGTTGTGGATGATGAAAGTCGATGTTTTGGATGCCTTTCTTCAAGTTCCCATTTGGTCCATGTCCCATCATTTCCTCTGGTGTGTTAACAATAGATGAATATTTCCATTCTGTGCCCTTTGACCTAGCCATGACCCCTTGTGTTTTCAAATAGATCATGTGGTCCTTTTATCAAAATGTGCATCTTCTGGGCCTTCATTTCCATCAGTGTTCTAGTGGATTTGTTCCCTTTCTGGGACCCCACTGGTCAATGTTTTAGTGACTCCCCATAATTCCAAGGTTCACTTCTTCTGGTCACCAGTCTCAAACTCAACCACTATGGTTTTCAATGCTCTGAGTCAGAATTGGTACAACTTCTTTCTTTATGCCTCTCTATCATTTGTGACTCTACAGTTATTTCCTACATCAACAG